TAAGAGTGTAAAGAACATCATTCCAAAATGATATCGTAAGTATAGTAGTAGCTTCCCTTTGTCCTTTAGCATCTTTGGCACACTTGGAACTCGTCCATTCTTCACAAAGGAACATCTCTCTAAGCTTTCCTTTTAGTTCTTGCATCCTTTGTAGACAAAGGAAATGGGTAGAAAACCTTGTCACTCCTTGTTTAACCAATTCAACATTACACGTAGTCTTTCTCATTAGATTCAAAGCAAAAGTATGATTATAAATGTAGCCCACAACCTTAACCCCTTTTTGTATAACCTTTTGAACCTTTGGAATTTTGCTTATGTCTTCTAACATAAGGTCTATACAATGGGCAGCACATGGAGTCCAAAACATGTGAGGCCTCCTCAAACACAATTCTTTACCCGCCGCTACATAATTACTTCCATTGTCTGTAATCAATTGAACAACATTTTTTCACCCATTTCCTCAATAAAAGTGTCCAACAACTCAGCTAGCTTTTCCCCCGTCTTGGCATAGTTAGAAGCATCAACACTTTTCACAAACATGGTCCCCGTCGGACAATTGACCAAAAAATTAATCAATGTTCTACCTTTTCTATCCGTCCAACCATCCGACATAATTGAACATCCATATTTATTCCTTTGCACCTCTTGGTTTTTCAACAAACATTTTGTATATTCCAACTCATTTCGAAGGATTGGAACCCTGAGTTCATGATAACTTGGCGGTTTCAAATGAGGACCATAACTTCCAACGGCTTCCAACATCAACTTAAAAGCTCTTGCATTTGCTACGTTAAAAGCAACTCCACACGTATAAAAAAAAGCGACCAATATATTGGATGGTTCTTGCCCTTGCTTCTTTATCACACGCATCATTGATGCTTGTGTCCTTACTCTTCTTATACACCAAATCCAACGGTCCCTTAGTCCTCTTGACAGCCATTGAAGAGGTCTCATCACTCGCAACCATCCTCTTTCCGGTTTGAATTCTATGTATTTCCTCAATATCAATGGTATCATCCGCATCTAATTGCACCGAAACCTCATGTATTCCTTTCTTAATTCTCTCCTTCTCAACCATGTCCGCGCGTAATATAGCCTTAACATCCTCGGGTGTTTTCGTGCAAGAAACTACATCACCGGTAATTGCTAATTGATGTCTTTTGGCTCTAATTATTCCCTCACTGCTAGTTAAATTACAAAAATCACATGTCACCTTCTTCTTGTTATTCAAATCCGTCAAATGATTGTATTTCCATCCTATGTCTTTACTATTGGTTGGTTTGAATGTTGGAGCACATGAAGCAACCGACGCAGAATTGGGTGTCGACGAAGAAGCTGCCATATTTACCTGAAGCTTGGAACAGTGGAAGTGCTGTTTGCTGGAACTGGAACAATGGAAGTGCTGTTTGCTGGAACTGGAACGGTGGAAGTGCTGTTTGCTGAAACTGGAATGGTGGAAGTGCTGTTTGCTGGAACTGGAACAGTGGAACGGTGGAGAAAAAGGGCACAAAACTGGAACAATAAGAGTGGAACAGTGGAACTCTGCAGTTGTATGTTGCTGCCTTGCTGGAACTAAAACGGTGGAAGTCGAACAACGGAGAAAAAGGGCACAAAAACTGGAACGGTGGAAGTTGAAGAGTGGAAAAGAAGCGCATAAAAACTGGAACGGTGGAAGTTAAAGAGTGGAAAAGAAGCACACAAAAATTAGGGCAGAAGAAGAAAGTGAGAAACTGTAACACAGGAAAGAAAATACAAAAGCAAATCTGTTTTAAAAGTATTTTAAATGAGGGGTAAAATAGTAATTTTGGCCAAAAAAAATTTAAAAAAAAAAACCAAGCCTGAACCGCTCCGCCCGGGAAGCGCCCGCTATCCGCGACCCGGGATAGCGGCGATAGCGTGCGCTATCTTCTCTCCGCCACCACACCCTTGTGCGCGCGCGGCATGCCTCCGCTCCACTCTGGAGCGCCGCGATAGCGGCCGCTCCGACCGCTATTAACAACTCTGATATATATATATATATATATATATATATATATATATATATATATATATATATATATATATATATATATATATATATATATATATATATATATATATATATCTTTGTATTCATGTCATGCATTCATTTTGTACTTTCCAACATGTGAAACAATGCAAAACAATATAATTTAGTTTTTGCTAAAAATGTAGCTCTGGTTCACTCCCGTATATGCATTTCCGATAATAATTTATGTTTAACAAAAATAATATGCATCCTAAAAATACATTTCCGAAAACGCTTAGGCAAAATTAAATTTTCCAAGAGTTCTTTTCACTTATATAGGATGTCCTAAGAAATCCCCTATGTTTAGTTCAACGAAGGCCCAATAACAATTTAGTTTAGTTTTTCTTTTTTGCTATTTCAAAAAAGACGGATTCCCTCTTGAATTACTTATTTTGGTCAAAATGAAGACAATTCGCAAAAGGAAACTTCAATATTCAAAAAACATTCCTAAACATATATAACTTAATCATTGATTTAACAGAGAACCCATTTACTTTGTAAAAAAATTTCTTATTTATAAAACTTGTGTTAGTTTTTTTTAACAATTCAAGATTTTGACTAATTTAAAAAACAACTAAGTACAAGATGGCCGCTCGGATCCAACCCACTAAACAGAAAAGAAACAACTAATTCAACATCAAATTGGCTATATTTGATTTAAGCTTCTTGCTATCCCAAACAATATAAACTATCTTATCAATAATGCTACTAGTTATGTTATTTTTATCTACCTTATTGCCAAAGCAAATGTTGTTTCTGTAAACCCAGATGTCATGTACAGTCTCAGTCTCAGTGATGGCAAGCTTGGTCAAGGATGCAAGCCATCCTTTATTATTCACAATCCACTTGATTTCCTCCTCCCAAATTTTAGACTCAAGTTTCACTTAGATCCATTGCAGAACAGATTCCTAGATTGATCTTGTTCCATGGCAGTCGAAGAAAAGATGATCAATAGATTCATCCTTATCACACAGGCTGCACTTGTTGTTGGCCGCCTATTGGCTAAGATTTTCGATAAGGACTAAAATTCAACCAAGAGGAAAGAATCCAAGAACGTTCTTTGAAAAGGTGAAATTATCTAAGTTGACTACAGTTGCAGTCGACCAAAAGAGACCCCTTAAGTAGCTAATTGGGCCTGAAAATGTCAAAAAGCCCAAATCGTCTAGACCAAGCGAGCGAAGCACTATGAAGAGAAAAATGAGTTTGAGTGGAGAATGTGGATTCGTGGAGAGGAGTTGCAAAATACATGTGGCGTATAAAGAAACGAAGCTCGCCAGAAAGCAGTTATTATATTTGTATTTAGATAAAGCACTTAGTGCATAGTTTTAGAGATTCAAACTTTCACATTCCTATACGCTAGTCATCCAGAGTACCCAAACGAACGAGCAAAATGAGTCAAACTAAGACAATGTATGTTTGAATCAACTTATTTTCAACTATTTTGATGTTATGTCATTTACGTTTACAGTTTAAAATGCTTTTCGTTTTAGTTTTACAAATCTTACTTTATTACTTATAAACTCATTTGGTAACAGTCGAACAAATTCTTTTTTAAAATACTTTATGAAAACACTTGAAAACTAAAGCACTGTACTAAGATTCTGTGATCGATCTTACAAGTAAACTTTTGTTAAGAAATAAATGTTGTTTACCAAAATCAGAGGTAAACACTACCATGCCAAACTTCTTCAATCTATCCTTAATAGCAAGCTTTTCAAGCTACTATAACCTTTTCCTGATCCAAGTGCTATTTGTTTTTTAAACTTATTATTTTCAACCAGTGTTTCATTTTCTTTCCATTAAAAATATAATTATTTTCTTCCCATTTACTATCTCCCCTTTATAATAATCGTCAATTTCATGTAAGAATTAAAAAAATTGTCTTTATTTTGCAAAACAATTTGCCAAATTGTCTTTATATACCACCCGGATTATTAGCGTATTAATCATGCGTTTGCATTTCACATTGGCGACTAGACTTTATTTAGAGTTCTCAAGTAATTCAACATCGTTTGTAAAAAAACAAAACTAACTCGAAACTTAATAGTTAGTATTGTAAAAACTTACGCAAGATCATAATAGCCACTGAACATACAACCCTTTTGTTTAATTTGTTGGCTGATTTTAGGGAAGAAAACAAATCCTGATCCCTTTATTTATTGCTACTACAATAAGTCTTGTCCACCAAATAGAAAAATTGAATATTATTGACAAGTAATGGTTCTTAATATGCAATCCAATTCTTTCTATAAACTTTATGTTTATACATCGTCCAACTTTGAATGCTGTAATACCTAGCATTATATCTTTCCACGATAACATTAATTAGTAATTTATACATTCAATTGACTGAAATACCTTGGTGTGATCTCAATGTAGTGGAACTTATTGTAATTCGAGGTTTAATTAATAGTAATCTTTTTAGAAAAAGTGACAAAATCTATTGCAACTTACGAATTAACACCACCCAGACAAGTTGAAATCAACTAGGAAAGAACCCAAAAAAGTAACTTCAGTTCAAAATATACACATTTCCATGATGCATATTCCATGTACTAATTGAATCTATGAAGCAAATAATAGGAATTCCAACTTACTAGAAATGCCAGCAAAACAAAGTTCTGCGTAACCAGTCGGGTGCGGAGAGATTGGGAAGCTACAGTATGTTATAGAGAAAGGGAATATAGTTACTGTAAGCAAACTAAATTGGAACATAACTATAAAGAAAATATACAAAAGAAGCATGATAAAATGATTTGCATGAAACTATTTTTACACATGGCAGAATCCTCTAATGATAAATCTCCATAATTAAACAAGTTAAGTAGCTAAACTACAGATTTGCGACACGTGGAAAGGTCCAATGACTAGCTATTACACAATCTAGGAAAGAATATACTGATCTTTCACAGATCAGATGAAGCAGTCAGCAAGTATTTACCTACGATGTCTGTCAGCTAGAAATTTCACCATTGCTTTGTTTAAAACTTGAAGCGCCAACACCTTGCTTTACACCATAAGGCAATGGCACATTATATGGAACAAATCCATTGGCGATTAACGGTTGGCCAAATTTATAGTTAGTCGCGGACTCAATAACAGCATTATAGCCCCAAGTTTCAGCACCACTACCTACCATTCCAACAGAACCACCCATAAATGCAACACTCGGCATAGCATTAACGTAAGGCGGCGCCTGATGACCAGTTACCATTTGCCCATACCAGAAGTTACGATAAACATCAGACGGAGCTACATATCCATTCCCGTTCCCCCCATAGCCACCCATAGGGTACCAACAACCATAGGCATTTGATCCATACCCATATCCCACATCACTAGGGTACCAAGGTAAAGGAGAAAATCCAGGAACCATATTACCCGGACTAGAATGAGGAAACATCTCAGTGGCTCCTCTATCAATCTTATACCTTATTTTCCCACCAAAGCGATCATTACCAACATTCCCCTCCCTCGGAACAGCCCTCTTAACCTCCACCAACCTCCCATTCAAGTCATGAAAACTTTTCACGGTAACATTCTGCACAGATTCCTCATTCTCAAAAGTGATAAACCCAAACCCCCTCGGCCTATGAGTTACACTGTCCTGCATAACCACCACATCAGTTATCGTACCAAACCCCTCAAAATATCTCTTAAACTCCTCCACAGATATATTAGCAGGTAAACCTCCTACAAAAATCTTCTTAGTCCTAATCTGGTCACTGTTACATTCAAAATTACCATAGCCACTTCCTCTATTCTGTAATTGATTTTGCTGTAACTGTTCACTTCTTGGTATAGCTTTTCTCACCTCTATCTATATTAACAACAACAACAAAACAAAACAAAACTACCCATAAATCAAACAATTTACAAACCCATAAAAAAACCAAAAAAATCCATGCAAACAAAACAAACATTTAATTACTCAAAAATTAAAACTATAGTAAATTAAATTTCTAAAAAAACAATTTCTTTCCTTTTTGAGTGAAAAAAGGAGAATTAGGGCAAACAAAAAAAGAAGAAAAAAAACTAACCTTTCTTCCAAGAATGGCATGGGTATCTTGAAGGGCTTTTTCAGCTGAACCGATATCAGAAAACGTAACGAAGCCGAAACCTCGAGGGATTCGCGTAGCGCGGTCGAAAGAGATGGTGGAATACAAAACGTCGCCGTATTTAGCGAAATAGTGCTTGAGAATATCTTCGGTAGTGTCTCGAGAAATGCCACCAACGAAGAGTTTGGCTTTATCGGAAGAATCCATCTTGAAATTCATTCTACTGTTCATGAACCCTAATCCTAAACCCCTCTGAATCCCCAATTCAATTTTGGAAACCCTATTTTTCTATTTCATTTCTGTTCCTGAAGCTCTACTTTAACTAACTTCTTCGTCACACTTGGAATATCTTTTGATTCTTGCGTGTTATATCAATTTATTTCTCGAGGCCCAGTTAAGCCCATTTCGCCTTTTCAGCCCAACAAAAAAATTAACTTAACATATCAACTTCGTTAAATCACTTTTTTATTGATGTTGTGTTTGGTTCTCCATTGAGAATAATTTATTTTGATATAATTGACTTTAATTAAACATGAGTTAAATATAAATTGATTTATATTTGGATAAATTAATGTAAAATTGATTTTCCATATTTGTTGTTGTTGTTTGGTTAGTTTGAACCAAAAATGTTTTTAGATGTACAGTTATTAAATTGGATTTTAATATGTATATTTTCATATATGTAAAATGTAGTCAATAAATTACTAATAATCAAATATAATATTTAAATAATTAAAAAAATTACGTAATAATTAAATCTTAGAAATTTAAATAAAAATTAATATAATTTAAAATAATATAGTATTGAAATAATATCACAAATTAATTATTTAGCTTATACTCTATAACTTGATCACGAATTGTGTCTCGAGCATGATTCATCTATGACGAAGAAGCTATACTAAAACTCTATGATAGATCTAAGTTAGTTTATCTATGATAATTACCATGGTAAATGATAGTATTTATATCTTCATAAATATCAAAATTGTTATCCATTTGAGTATTTGTTCCGATAAAATTGTGTATTGTCACTATTGCGACAATAATTTGAATTTGTGTTTCATATTTAAATTTAAGCATGTGACGCAAGATGACAAATCTGATCTTCCATACTCCAAAAATTCTTTTTAGTGTGCACCTTAAACTTGAGTGGTAATAATTAAATATTTTGTTATGATTTTCAAATCAACTTAAATGCCTAAAATCTAAAAGGTGGTAACGTTCACAACTTCTGAAGTGACCGAGATTGATTACCATACTTTCAAAAGGTTCACAACACCTGATCAATAGGTATTATTAACACAAGATTTCCTTACTTTTAGAAAGGTCACAACTTCTTTGAACAATAGGAGTATCAGAGCTTGATTTAACCATATTTTCACGAAGTTCACTACTTCTAAACAATGGGTATATCAACACACGATTTCCTTACTTTCAGACAATTCACAACATTTTGAATAGTAGGAGTATCAAAGCTTGATTTAACCATATTTTCACGAAGTTCACTACTTCTGAACAATAGGTATATCAAGGTATATTTCAACCTTTAACATAGTCAGAAACCTCTGACCAAATCTTATAGTGTCTGGTCATGATTCGTTTTAGACAGTTCACAACTTCTAACGAATACATGTTCACAGATGCTTAGCTCATCAGAGCATTCTTCATTCATCTTGATCTTGATCTTCTGGTTGGCAGATGATAATCTTCTGATAGCCAATTAACATGTATATGAAAACCAATGAACTTTTACAAAGTTCTCGAATCAAACATCAGATAAATTGTTAGCACTAAAAGCATTATATCATGTTTGGGTTTGAGATATGAGATTAAGTACTATCAAAATCATATACTCTTTCTCCCCCTTTGTCAGAAATCAAAAAGGATTTAAAAGACAAGAAGAAATTTTTCATTGAAAACCAAAAGGATAAAGATACAATTGTTTTAGAAACAAAAGAAAAACTAAGTTCTAATACAAAGAGCAAAGACTCTAAGCATCATCCTTCTTGTTAAACTTTACCGTGAACTTCATCAAAGCATCCACCAGTTATTTGAACGAGGCCACTTGAGCTGAAATCCTTTCATCCTGCTGATTTAAGCATTAATGGATGACATGATTTTCTTCCTACTGTCTATCTAATACAGCCTTCAGCCTAGCTGGGTAGTCTTCAACTTCCATTACTAGCTTTCCTTTTGATTCAGAAGGTTCACTATCAACCAATGACATCTTAAACCTAGAAGTAGACGAAGCAGTAGCATCTGGAAGACCAACAGGATTGACACTTTGTTGGTCAAATTCGAGAACTGGAATCTCTGGAGCAGGTAAACACAAGGGAATTGCAGAAGTCTTAGCTTTGAGACATTCCTTGTGTTTCTTAACGGTTTCAAACGAACAGTAGGCTTGCATGGTTATGGAATTTACATCAAACCATTTTTTGAAGCCTTCCCAAGCATCATCTCTCATTTCAAGATCCATGCTTGAAACATATCTTCTTAAGACGAATCTTAACGAGTTTCGAGCACAGAGTCAGAAATGGTCATTATTTCATCTAGGGGTATATGCCTATCATTTGTTCTAGCAAATAAGGCCAAAGGTTTTCCAGAATAAGGAGAGAGTTCCCTGTCTGGTACAACAATGATTTTTAATATATCCTCTTATGACATGAAATATTTAGGATTATCTTGAGCAATAGAGGTAAGATGTTCATCTTGAGAAAATGACCGAGTAGAAACTTGAATAGGAATGGTGTCAATTTCATCTTCACCTAAAAAAGAAGTGTTGGTTGGGGATTTTGGAGAAGGGGGGTGAGTTCCTGGTGATGGAGATGAGGAGTTCAGAGGGATTGATGGAGGATGGTTGAGGAAGGGAATAAGAAAGATTTCTTTCTAGAAGAATGTCTGAGATATACCTTCCAAAAGGAATATGATTCTTCTTCTTAGGACCTCCATCTCTTGATTATGTAATAGGGTTCTTCAGATAATTGAACAAAACCACTGAAAGGTTTATCTTTTGATTAGAGATAATAGCATACAAGAGATACTTTTGGTCTGCGTTGAGATAATCTGATGAGTGAGTTTCACGATGATGAGTGATGCTACCTATAAATATTATGTACCAAACTCTAAGTTTATCAACAAGATATTTGGATTTCAATTTTTCATAACAGTCAATGAAAATGTCTTTAGATTTTCCTAAATCCATAAAATCTTTGGATGTCATGTTGACTAATCTAGATCTAGTATCGTCATGACTGTATAATTTTACAATATCTTCTTTAGAAATAACGATCTTATTTCCATAGAAGTTTGAGAAAACATGTCTGCTGACAGATACATAGGCATGTATCCAGATTTCTTTAACCAGATCAATAAGAACTGGTCCACAGAGACGATTGAAGTAGACTAGACAATCTTAAAGAGTAACCACATATAGAAGATCGCAACCATTAACGACAAGATTTACGAAATCCACTAGGGCTTCAGAAAGAACTTCCAATTCACTAATAGGAGTGCATTGAAAGATATCAGAGAGTTGTTCATGTTAAAGTTGTTGACCTTGATCTTGAACTTCAGTAGATAATTGTTGGGAAGCCATTCAAAGGAGAAGAGCAGGATGCAAACACAAACTAGTACGAAGGATTTTTAAGGTTTAAAGATATTTGAGGCTTGACAATAGTAAAATTGAAGGATAAATATGGTGAGGTATGTGAATTGAAGTGAATGGGTTTTAAATAGACTTTGAAATCATGAAAAAATATTTTGAATATCTCAAGAGTCTGACAGGGGGTAAAGCAGTAAATGAAAATTTTAATCTCAAGAATCTCTCGTTTCCCAATATGTCACATCAAGTGCTAGAGGTGGTTCAGAAAAGACAAATGTCTTTAATTTGAATTACTAACTATTTACTTAATATACCATCTCAATTATTGAGAGAAACTTTAGTACAAAGTTATTCTTTTAGGAGAATATTCTGATCAATGATACTTCTGATATATGAGAACTTCATTAGAATGAAGTACCATATCACATAAGTCAATAACAAGAATGATACGTATCTTAGAAAACATTACGTTTATCAGAAGGACCAATTGCTGAGAGAGAATCCTTGACATGATATTTTGTGCTTTAGCAACTTTAGATTTAGCATTTTCTGAGTCATTAACTTCTTGTCCTGATGGAGTGACTTTATTATCTTTAGAAACTCTGTTTCTATAAAGCTTTCAGGCTTAAGTTCCAGGTTTATGAACATATGCCTTTTTCACGCCATGTGTTGCAAGCAGTCAGAGTCCAGGTACCATAAAAGGTGTGTAAACTATGTTGCTAAGGATATCTGCAACATAGATGAATTATTTCTTGGGTACCCATAATTTCTTGGGTCCTCTCTTGTAAGTTCCCCCAGAGTTTTTAACAACTTTGGGTTTAACAGCAGAACAATCATATTTGCAAGAATTAAACCTAGAGGAATTTGCCAAAGGTTTTACCTTAGGTTCAAAAGCAAATTTCTCTTTTTCTTTTCCCTTATTTTATACATAAACCCAGTAGAGGCAAAATGGGAATAACGAGTATTAGGTTTGTCTTCCTTATCAGAATTAGATTCATCATAAGAGTTATATCGAATACCATTAGTTCCATTTCTGCTCACGCCATAGATCATAGAAGCCAATATGCTTCTTCCTATGCTTCTGGCCAAGAATTTCTGGAAGGCTTTGTCATATTTCATAATGACATCATCAGTACTCTAAGAAGCTTCTAGAAGAGTTCTCGTGCCTTTAAGGGCAAAGTTCTTGTCTTTGAGAAAGAAATTTTATTCACTTAAAATGGAGAGATCTTCCTTAAACTTGATATTTTCAGAAGATATGGATTCATAGGACCTTTTAGGTTCCTTGAATTCGATTTTGAGTAAGGTTAGAAAATGCCTCTTTGGAGAATACATTTTTTGTGTCTAAATCTGATTCGCTTCATCTTCTGGAGGGACCTTTTCAACAGACGTTCCAACTTGAGCCATCAGTTCCATGTTAGCACGTTCTTCTTTTGAGTCGTCTTTTGAAAAGTCAGAATCATCCCAGGTTTCCATCAACCATTTTTTCTTACTTTTGAGAGATTTCTTATTGGAATTGTCCTTCTGTAGTTCAGGAGAATCATTCTTGTAGTGCCATGGCTCGTTGCACACATAACAAGTGACTTCTTTGCCACTAGACTTCCTTTAATCATAAGTA